GACATATTATCCATAAACATGGCATTTCTTTTCATATTTTGCTGATGACACAAATATACTTGCACGTCAATCCACAGACCCTGGAATGCTGAGTTCACTTAACAACTGCCTTTGTGAATTTAAAAATGGATGTCAAATAATTTCCTCCAGCTGAACTCAGACAAACAGAAATCCTGGTCATCGGGTCTCAGCCGATGGCAAAAATACTGCCATCTGCTGGTTCCCTAGTAAATCACATTAAGCCGTGGCAAAGAACTTGGTGTTTGGTTTGATAGTAATTTAAATTTCGAGAAGCACACACAAAGCTTGTTCAATCATGTTTTTATCAACTTAGAAATATAGCAAAAATTCGATCTATGTTAACTTTAAGGACACCGAGACCATTTTACACGCCTTCATCTCATCACGCCTGGATTATTGCAACAGCCTTTTCACCTGTTTAACCAAAAAATCTATTGATCGACTCCAGACTGTCCAGAGCTCAGCTGCCAGGCTTTTAACCAGAACAAAGAAATATGACCACATTACTCCTATTTTAGCTTCATTACACTGGCTCCCAGTATGTATTAGAATTGACTTTAAATTCTATTGATCACTTTTAAAGCTCTTCATGGCCTCTCGCCTTGTTATATTTCTGACCTTTTAGTCCCATACGCACCAGCACGTACCTTGAGATCCTTGGGCAGAGGTCTGTTGTCTGTTCCAGAGTCTCGACTGAAAACTAAAGGGGACAGAGCGTTTGCTGTCAGGGCCCCGAGGCTCTGGAACAGCCTGCCCGAGGAAATCAGGTCGGCTGAGTCAGTGAACTCTTTTAAGTCCCTTCTTAAAACATACTTTTATAGGAGAGCCTTTCCCGATCTTATATGACTTTATTTATTGTATTTTACTAATTTTATATAAATTTTTCATGCTCTTATCTTGTTTTTGTATTATTCTTATACTTGTTAAAGCACTTTGTAACTTGTTTTGAAAAGTGCTCTACAAATAAGGATTATTATTATTATTATTATTATGAGATCAACACCAATTAAAGCAATCCAGGTTGAGTCAGGATAAGTGGCCTCAAACCTGCAAAGAGATAAACTCATGCTTACATACTGGATTCACTTACGTGGATGTGGTTATGAAAACCATGCAAAGACTATTATTCAGGAATGTTGGGAGTATAGTTCTTTTAAAGGTAATGGCTTTGGCTGGGTAACAAAGACTAAATCAGAGGAACATAGATTAAATAATACCTGGTTTAACTCCCCTACACCCATTAGTCATATCCCTATTTGGTTATTTCCAAAACTGAGATAGACTAAAGAGGAATGGGAAGAGAGTGGGAAAGGACGTCTGGCAAGTCAGTACATGAGGAGCAATATTACAATTACTTAGGTATATATATAGATCTACAGATCTAAAGATGAAGAGGACAAGGTAGGAATAGGAATATATATACCAACAATGAATGTAAATGAAAAGACTACCTGATCAGGCTTCAGTGTACACGGCAGAGAGATGGCGATTATTGTAGGGCTGCAGTGGGTTGAGAAAGTAAAAGAGTGGTGTGTTGTTTTGATTCTCTAGCAGCCCTTTATAGTATTGATGGGTCACAAATTATTTTAGAACATTACAGCCTGAATGTTGTTATTAATTGTCTTGCCATCATTCCATTAATTACAGTGTTCATCATTTAAAGTATTATTTTAGAGTGTAAAAGTTAGGATCACAGTGTCAAAACTCTAAAGCTCTTGTCACAGTTAAAGAGTTATTTTATAGTGTAAAGTTAAGATCATAACGCTGAAACTCTATAGCTCTGAGAGTGTGTGGTCCTCTCTGTGTCGAGCTGCCCGGAGGCAGTAACAGTAGCACATGTGTGTGTAAGCAGGCACGTGTGCTCTGGGAGCAGAGTGAGCACAGCAAGGCATCATCAAAACAGCAGCAAAGGAAAATGTAGAAGCAGAATTAGTGAAAATTGTGTTACAAAACATACATCAATACAGTAAGAATGTCCTGTCTCTAGCACACAGCACAAGAGACACCATCTTATTCCACAAAGTCAGGGTTTTGGTTAAAATAGCGTGATCAGCAGAGGGCATGCCTAGGACACAGAGAGGGGGAGCATTGCAGACAAATAGTTAGACATCAGTCAAGAAACAGTCATCAGTGATTATCCTTAATCAATATTGATAATCATTGTTAATCATTTTAATCAGTTTTATTATCTTTAATCAGTTACTTTAAGTATTATTCTTATATCGTCATTTTAATCATTTAGTATTAATCATTATCATTCTTAATCATTTTCTTTTTACCTAGATATGCTTCGGTTTTTACTTATAAGTAACTGTAGTCATGAACACAGAAACAAGCTCACTGTGGTTAGATCTTTGAGTGGGAGGAATGACTGCAGGAAGTGGCTGCAGATGGTTTGCCTTGTCCAACTGTCATCTACTGTAGATTATGACCATAGGAGAGGCTGCAGGTGTGCAAGATCTGCTGACACTGTGTTAATGCATGCTTCGTTCTGCTGCTATCTGCTGTTGTGATTACATGAGGAACTGCTGATGTGTTAATCTGCTAATATTAAGACTACGTGCTTAATTACTGATTAAGGGGTTTGATTGTCAACTTCCAACCTCTGGTTATTATAGCCAGTGTGAACTTTGAGTGAACTTGCTGAAGGAATTCATGCTTTGCAAAAATGACCACAAAACCGACAGATGCTTGGTACACGACAGACAGATAATAAGCAGAAAGCAGAAAGCAGCCAGCACAACATCAAGAATGTTATAAGAAACCATTAATGAAAAATGCAACTTTACTTATGTTATTCTTATATTAATTGTTTAAAAAATACAGTGTGTGACAAATTAAGCATGCGTAACCTTTAAAAAACACGGTGAGACTGAAGTTGAAATGTAAATGATGAACTTCTTATCCAGTAGTATAAAGATGTAGAAAGTCTACAATACAGTAATAAATGACAGCTGGGAAACAGTGTTAATTGGTAAAAACAACACAACAACAGAGGAAAAGATGTTCATCATGAGGAAAGGAGGGGGCAAACCAGCCCAGAAGAGATGTATATAAGACTGTCTGCAGACCATAGGATGGACTTCATCCTCCGGCCTGCTGGGATGTTGTACGGGTTTATGTGTCCTGTTTTGGAATAAAACAGGACACTTGCACCGACTTTTGACCTTCTCCAGAGAAGTTCTTCTCTGCAAGTTTGCAAGAGTATTTTTGACAAAGTTTTATTAAGTTGGTGAACGTGGGGACCAGGCTTAACTGGCCCAGCCAGGTCGTACATCTGACCCAACAGTATTCAAAATATGAAATCTAATGGAGAAGATCTAATGCTAGAAATCCAACAAAGTTTATTTAGACTACAGACACTACGGAAAAATGTGAGATTCTGCTGGGTACTTGCCCACGTAGGTATAAAAGGGAATGAGAGAGCAGACGAAATAGCTAAAAAATCAACCAGGACAAAGATGTCATAAATATACCCCTTGGAAAAGGAGAAGCTAAGGCAATAATCAGTAAAGAAATGATGAAGAAATGGCAGGTGGGATATGGATAAAGTGGAAGGAAATATTACAGCTTGCAAAAATCTATTAATGCTCAGGGTGTGAATAGAAGTAACAGAAGAGAGGAGAGCACCAGGCTAAGGTTCCCACAGGATTAAATAAAACACTGTTTTTAATGGGCAAAAGTCAATCGGACGAATGTTTGGAATGTAGGTCCAAGGAAGATGTAGAACATGTGCTATTACACTGTAGAAAATACAGGGATGAGAGAATGAGGCTAAATCAAAAGATAAGTCAGGCAGGAAGGAAGTGGAACCTTAAAGGCCTATTAGGCACAACAGGAGACGAGGTAAAGGATACACAGAAAGCAGTAGTACAATGTCTGAAAAATATAGGGATATATAATAGGATTTAGTAGGGTTTTTTGTTTGTTTGTTTTGTGTGTTGTTTTTTTTATGATATAAAGTAGTCCCAAAGAAAATATTTCACTCCGATACAGTAGGTGGCGGTATGCACCTTCAGAAGTCATTGTTGCAATCTGCCATAAAACAGTAAGAAGAAGGAGAAACAAACCAAGCCGCAGCGTTAGGTTTGAATCAATGGAAGGCTTTGTTGTCGTAGCGCCGCTAATTGTTTCATTTATTATTAAGCAATAATGTCTTCAGTTGAGTGTTTGAGAGAGTTTGTCAACGAGCGACTAACTGCTGCTGCTGAAGAAATATTCCGAGTTTTAAAAAAAACTATCGTCGAGTACGAGGAAGAGATCGATCGTCAGCGCAGACTGCTGGATATCGTTTGGAAACCCGAAGTAAAGTTACACAGGATAGGTGTGTAAAACTTCAAAATTAAGCTTTTAATTACATAAGTGCTCATTTCCTTGCGTGTGTGCATCCTTTTCTTTCCCATCCCAGTAGTAGCCTGTTCCTTCTGTTCTCTGTCCCTCCAGAGCTCCCACAGCAACATGTCTGGAAGGAGGAGGAGGTTCTGGCTGACCAGCAGCTCTGTATTCAGGAGAGGAACTCCAGTCTGGACCAAGAGGACCCAGAGCCTCCACAGATTAAAGAGGAACAGGAGGAACTCTGTACCAGTCAGGAGGGAGAGCAGCTTGTACTGAAGCAGGAGACTGATACCTTTATGTTGACTCCTACTTATGAGGAAAGAGACCACAGTGAAGCAGAACTGAAAAGTGACCACCAGCTCCTCTCTCACAGCTGTCATGTAGCTGAGAGCCAAGATCAGAAAGGAGGCGAGCATGAAGACTCAGGATCAACTAGAGATGCAGAGCCAGAACAAAAGAATCAAGATCACAAAAGCAGAAGCCACAGAAACAATGTAAACAAGTCTACCATGTCAGAGGTTCACCATAATCCTCACACAGGTAAAAACTCTTTCAAATGTGACACATGTGGTAAATACTTTCAGAATAAGTCCAAAATGCAGATACATCTGAGAAGTCATATGGCTGAGAAGCCATATTCTTGCAGCAGCTGTGGGAAAAGATTCATCCATAAATCACATTTGAATGTTCATATAAGAATCCATACAATTAAAAAGCCATATTCTTGCAAAACATGTGGGAAAGACTTCAGCTCCAACAGTGGCTTGAAATACCACATTAGAACCCACACCGGTGAGAAGCCATTCCCTTGCAAGACCTGCGGGAAAAGATTTGTTTCTACATCAAAATTGAATGTTCATACAAGAACCCACACAGGTGAGAAGCCATTTTCCTGCAAAACATGCGGGAAATCTTTTTGCCAGAGTGGTCAGTTGAAAGTCCACGAGAGAACACACACAGGTGAGAAACCGTACCTTTGCAAGACCTGCGGGAAAAGATTCAGCCGCCTTTCAGTATTAAAGAAACACGGATTGATCCACACAGGAGAGAAGCCATTTTCTTGCAAAATATGTCAGAAAAATTTCAGAGTAAGTGATAACTTGAAACTCCACATAAGAACTGTCCACACAGGTGAGAAGCCATTTTCTTGCAACACATGTGGAAAATCTTTTTGCACGAGTAGTCAGTTGAAAGTCCACGAGAGGACACACACAGGTGAGAAGTCGTACCTTTGCAAGACCTGTGGCAAAAGATTCAGCCACCCTTCAATATTAAAGACACATGGATTTATCCACACAGGTGAGAAGCCATTTTCTTGCAACACATGTGGAAAATCTTTTTGCCAGAGTGGTCAGTTAAAAGTCCACATGAGAATCCACACAGGTGAGAAGCCGTACATTTGCAAGACCTGCGGAAAAAGTTTCATTGCTGCATCAAATTTGATTGAACATGAACGAACCCACACAGGTGAGAAGCCACATTCTTGTAAAACATGTGGGAAATCTTTTAGCCATAATTGTAGCTTGGTATACCACATGAAAACCCACATGCGTGAGAAACCGTATCTTTGCACAATATGCGGGGAAAGATATCCTTTTGCATCTCATTTGAAACAGCACAGAAGATCACATAAAGACATTTGCTAAATATGTGGGAGATGATTCAGTTCTAAAGGTTGTGGTCAAAACACAGAAGAACTCAGAAGTGAGGAGCTGCAACATCGCAGAATTTGTGGGAAAAATCTTACCCAAATCACAAACTTGAAAAAACACCTGAGGATCAATATACAGAGAAGATCAACGATCCGGCTGTGTTCACCTGTGAATGCAATACACTTTTGCAATAACTTCATGTGTCAGCTGAATGGAAATTGTTTTCTATAAAATGAGATGTAAATTTCTTAGTGTAAAGTTTCTCTTCATATGACTGTATTGCCCTGTTTAGACTCATTGTTATCTCTTGATAAAGTTAAATGTTTTCCAAGCCTTTGGCTCATTTTTAAATACAGGAAATGCAGGGAAAATCTCCCTGAAACTTTTTAAAATCGTATCGTCATCAACCAAATATTCAACAAGGTGAGAAATATTTTTCCTTTAACCTTTTTGTCGTACATCAAGATAATGATTTTCTTTCACATGTAGGAATTCATTAAATTTGACACTAAAATAGTTATCATTTTTGCCCTCTAAAAATTCTTATTTCATCTTGAACCTTGTGATGAGATGCTTCTGTTGGTTGTAAACATCTATTTAGTCTAGGTTTGTTTTTCTGTGTTTCTTTTCCTTTTCTGATGTTTATGCTTGGTACTGTTTTTGTGTTTATAGAGATTATTCTATGTGTTTGTTATGTTTTGGTTTTGGTGAGTAAAATTTCTATTTATTTAAATAGGGGAGCACTGAATAAGTCTCTCAGGCTTCTTTTCTCTCCTGAACTGTAATTACTGTATTTTCTTTTGAATGCATTTCTATTTTCATTATTATGCAAATTAACTGGACTAAAGAGTAAAATTTTTCATTTGAGAGTTGCTGACATCACTGTTTTATATTACTAAATAAGCACCCTATTAAATGATTACAATGTTAAACATTTATATTACAGCTATTATAGTCACTACATTCACTTTGCAGGTAAAGATTTAAGAAACAACATCATGACCTTATAAAATAAGATGCATTGTTAAACAATTTTAAATGGTAAAAGTGGGTGATTAAAACATGAATATCCCATATAAATATTTTACACATCCCACAACTGTCAGTTTAATTCCAGCCATATTTTACATATTATAATAAAAAACTCTTATTTCAGCAGTACTTTATTGTTAAGTATGATGGAGTATGAGTGACACATTATAAGGAAATAAAGTTGTAATATTATGAGAATAAAATAGTAAAAGTTTAAAAAAATAACATAGTTATTAGGAAAATATATTACCAGCAACCAACAAAACAGGCTAGAGGACTGAGTTAAAAGCAGTAGTTCAGAAAAAGAGTACCAAATTTCCTTGTGGAATGAAGCGAGGTAGATGGACATCTTTGTTTCTGAGTTCAGTTGGAGCTCATGGCAGTCACACTTGGGACAGGCGGTAGAGAGCTGGAGTCAGGTGATCGAAACGCGCGCTGAATAAACATTTTTCGGGTTGAAACATTACACAGTAGCTATATGGTAGAAACACCGGTAATCAAATTGAGATTGAACAGAAATAATTGCAAACACAACAGGAGTGTCGGCGGTACGGTACAGCTGCGCTGTGACTGGACAGGAAGTGGGGGAGGACAAGGAAAGGGCAAAGGTGGAAAGGGAAAGTAACTTTACATGTGGTTACATGACGTTTTTGCCAAAATAACTTGCAAGGTGTATTATATCCATCATGTAAGCAAGGTCTACAGTGATTACAAGTTTTTCTTGTTTCATTTCTTTCACGTTTTACGCTGAGAGATTATGATAGCATGATTTGTGTATTACTCAGGGTAACCAAAATGATTGTGTTTTCTTATATTGATCTTGTTGAAGTACGCCGACTTCCGAGTGTTTTGATGAGAAGGATCAGAAGGAGGAAGTGTCGAGTTCAACCAGTTATTTATTGACCATAAAATACAGATAGATCTGCCTCTGCCTAACACAAAAGTCTGCTGTTCTTCCGCTAAGCCTGTGCATTCCTTCCTTGTTTACTATATATGGTGAAGTCA